TATCTTATCGAATCGGCTGAATAATCATTCGGTTAATTTTTCATAAGGTGTCCCAGGAATAATGATAACAGCTGTAAAAGTCACAATCACTAAGCTGAAAGCAGAAATCCGAAAAAGGATAACCTAGATCTCGAAATAGCGGCGAACATGTTGCGTTATTGAGTTACGGCCCGAATTAAATTGAATCCGGATCGTAATTCAAAATAACATCCACTATCTGCTATGTACGTGCTTCGGTATTTTCAAAATCAATATTATTAAATGGACAAATATTAGAAACTGATTCCAAAATATAAAGATTACAGCTATAATTGCCAGTTCGGAACGAATCAACACTTGCTAGAATCATAAAAACGAGAGCTAACTGGGATGAATCGTTGCCATCTTTGATAGTTTCGCAATCTTTCATCCATCGTACTTACCTTACAGAATGTTAATGATTTTCTTTCAAAAAATCTGTGATTAAGGTTCGCTGAACGTAAAATGAAAATTTGTAAAATGTTTATTTGCAAAAAGAATTTGGCATTGTTCATCGAAAACTATCTATTTATTTTAATGGTCAGAAAATGCACACCCCTTTAACTACCGTGAAGTTATTTGTTAGTGTAGCAGTATCAAAAATATAATAAAATGGGGGTTTTTTAACAATTAAGTAAACGTTTGTTTTAAAAAATAGACAAACGCATTTTTTATATGGCTCTAAAATATTACCACCAAGAAATTTAAACCCATAATGTAATAAAGAATATAATGTAATATAAAAGAAAATCAACAAAACTTTATAAAAAATTCAGTATTACCAGACCTCTTTCTTTCCCATTTAGCAAGTTTCCAGTCTTCCTCATCAACTATCATAATTTTCTGGTTAAAAGTATTTTCATAGTAAAACTTCTTAGATGTAGCTTCAAAAGAAGAGGTGGCAGTTTGTTGTTTGTTTATGCGAGAAAGCACCTCCTCTAATGATGCCCTTTCGGGAATTTGAAATGTGTTTTTTATTGTGGTACGATGAATCGGAGAATCGATTGTGTAGTGTATTGTGAACGAGGAATATTTATGCTAATAATATACATTGTTAGCATGACATCAGATATCAATATGTTGTGCGTCAAATTAAAATCTGCGTCAGATTAAAATCATTATAATTCCGCTAATGCCCAACATAGGCGCCCACCCTTACCCTAAAAACTCCGCATTTAAATTTTAATCTGATGCACGACATATATATACGATACTAAATACTCTAAATAAACATTTCAGATTACCTTTGTGATATTATGCTTAGGTTGACGATTGATGATTTTATTGTTGACAAATTGATTGTTGATAAATTGATTGTTGACAAATTGATTATTGATAAATTGATTGTTGATAAATTGATTGTTGATCTTAGTTTCAGGCGATTTGACACTGGTTGACTTGTCAACCGGGACCAAATTAGTATTAGGCTGATCCTATATCAATGTATTGAAAAAGTGCGTGATATTTTGTTATTTAAATAATGCAATTCAAAATAACAAATAATGATATTTAAATATTGAAAGGTTTAAAATGACAAACTTTATTAAGAACAGTATCTTGATTCGAATTGAAAGCAGGTTTATAAGACATTCTATCGAGCCTTTGTAGATTCACACCTTCTTTAAATTTCATCAAACGATCTTTGCTTACTAGCTTCTTAGGTTTAGCAATCATTAGTGTAGCATTTTCCAATAACCCATTTGTTACTTCTGGTATTTGTGTTGCCGATGAAATAGACTCTGACGGATAACAATAATGCTAAATGATCATAAATATATTAATGGTATATTAATAGTATTGATAAAATGTTGCACATGAAGAACATTTACTGTAAATATAATAAACTTTAATAAAAATTTTTATTTACCTCTCTTATAATTCCTTTATCAAACTCAAAATAAATATTACGACTTTCTATTTTGAACCCAACTACTTGATTAATTTCTATAAAAATGATTTCTTTAACTTTTAAATCTTTCTCATCTATATCATCCGTTTCATCATTATCGAGTACACTTATAAGATCATCCACCGATGACTCGATATCTTCTAAGTAACGGTCTAAAATTATAGAAACACCTTCTTCACCAAGTTTAATGCATAATTCTAAATTTGTACATTCGACACTTGTGGTTACGTCAGCAAATACTGTTTCATCTGTGATGGTTCCGGAGAAGAGTTGAGTTTTTTGAGGAAGGAATGTTATACTTTCGATATCGATACGAATGAGATCATCATTTGATGCGGAGATTAATAGGTTGCGAGATCTGTCTGTTGGATCTTGAAAATTATCAAAGATGTTAAAGAAATGTCATTGGAAAATTATAAAGTTTTATCTTTCATGTGACGTTTTTTGACTAATTAATACATTATAAAAAAATCAACTGATTATCTATATCTCTCAAAATTCGTTCATGTAGAAATTTATCATCCGTAAATATCACAAAGTAACTTTATAAATTTACCATTTCCATAATCATTCCCGGTATTTTCATAATATCTATTCATTTTTTATTTTGCAACTTTCGCAAGAAAAAAAAACAACGTTAAAAATTAAGTAGACAAACCATAAAATCGGTATATATCGATATTGCCGATCTACCCCTAGCAAGAAAAACATCAGTCACATGCTGCAAATCATGATCCTAGATTCAGTCGACTAATTTGGTTCACAATTATTAACGTTAAATGCTTTGATAACAAGATAAGTAACGATAAAAGGTCATACCTATACTCGTTTCAATGTTCAAAAGCATATTAAAGTTCTAAAAATTTAGAATACTAAAACACCGAAATATCTTTGTTCAATGTTTATAACCAGCTTTACAAATCGCAAGATTACCATAACAAAAAGCAATACAATTCTTTACAATTTTTTGAATATTTAAGAAACTAAATTAAAATAATCAGTTTTAAACCATCAGATCGAGCATTTTATATACATAACCCTGATTAGAATAGAATCCGTACAGAGATTATCAATATTATTGTATTAGAACCTGTTACGTATAAAAGTTAATATATATGTTATGCGTCAAATTCTGGATTTAAAATAACGATAAATAATAAGGTTAAAAATTACCGATTCGGGTTAAACGATAAGATTAATTTGCAGCTGAAACAGAAAATAATAACACCCTGATTACAGCAATCATCCAGTGCATATATGTTCGATTTCACTTTCAGATTTTTCCATCAATTAAAAATTATAATCAGTATAACTCTACCGATAATAAATTATTGAATTAAAAAAAATTTTTTTTTATATTGGTTAATAAATAATAAACATTAAGCTAGTATAGGAAATTTTTAGAATATAATGTTTAGTCCAATTTTAGCGAACACAAACACAAACGGAAAGTGTAAAAGGTATTGTTTCTATGATAGAAACTGATTTTTATTTAAAGTTCTTATTATTTTTTTTTTTTATTGAATGGTAATACATTATTTTAGTTGACAAATAACGATGTAAAGATTTTCAATAATACTGTACGAATTTAAGTGTTGCGGTTACCGGTAATTCTTCATTACGTCTTTTACTTTTCGTTTATTCATATAGTTGTCAACAATTTGTTCAAAGGTTGAAGTGAAAAAACGAAAAACTAATGAAGTATTCGAAGTCATCTTGTAAAGAAAATATCAAAAAAAATTTTTTTTTAAAAAAAATGGTATATTTAAAATGGCAATTTCTATTTGTACACGGGGTGTTTGTACACGGGTATATAGAAAGCCAATCAGATTGCACGATCAGGTGTAACGTGAAATTATTGCTTTCTCTAAAATATTACCTCTATCTCAAAATTTCGCTTATAAAACCACCTTTTGGATTCTAACAAAAAAAATTCCTTGTGAAATTTTGGTATAGGCTATAACCCGCCCCAATCCTAAATGCACCCTTACCCTAACCCGAAGTATGGTTTAATTTTTCGTTTTATACAAATTGTTTTGATTTACACATTACACAGATTTGCAAATTAATATCCGTGTATAATACACACCTTGTTATACATGGTGTAGAAACTACTTGCGGCCTTGCCAAAAATATTTTGGCATTGATTTTTTGGTAGAAATAATGCCACAAGCCATAATTCATGCCGAAATCCAAAACTAAAGCCAAAACTTACAATATGTGCCATAACCTAAATTAAAAGCCGCAACTACACATTGTATAAAAACTACTATACATGGCGTAAAAAGTATTTTGGCATCAATTTTTTGGTAGAAATAATGCCGCAAGCCATAATTCATGCCAAAATCTAAAACTAAAGCTGAAACTTATAATATGTGCCATAACCTAAATTAAAAGTCGCAACTTTAAAGAATAAAATTCAATATTTATATAATTATTAGTTATGGCCTAATAGATATCATAATTATATTTATTACATTAAATACATTATATATATTTAATAATATACAATGTAACTGCTCAAATATCAAAGCTATTAACTAAAGCATCAACATCAAATTCCACATTGCCATGATCCTCCTCAATTTTGTCCCCAATACATTCAGAATTACAATTATCTAATGCTAATGGTTGTATTTTAAAATTAGATGAATTTAAGTCCATAGTATTGCCGATTATCAATAATTCACCTTCGATAGGAATATCATCACTTTGATTTTCTTCTAATATAAAAAGTTCTTCTTCAATTTCATCTACTGCATAAATATCTTCTTCAATTTCATTCTTTAGTCCCATAGATAAGGTTGCATTCAAGACTTGTTGTCGTAATTCATCCAATTCAATATTTGGTGCAGCATGAGTAAGTTCAGTATCAACATTTGAAATATAATAAGAATGTATCTTCGCCATATCTTCAAGTTTTGTAATATTTAGCCGATGTCTATATAATTAATAATGAAAATTAAATATAATAAATATTATAGCATATTATAATAACTTATTTCTAAATAAAAGAAAATAGTAAAGATTTAATGAATTTTACCTTCGTTGACCATAAAACCATCTAAGCACAGAAAAAATTCTTTCACACCTGGCATTGTGTGGTGTAATTGCTAAGATTTTTAATGCCAAGTGTGACAAATAATTATTATCACAACTTTGCCACCAACTAATTAATGTATCAGTATTGTCAACCCAATAATCATTGTATAGTTTTACATATTCACGATAATCCTTCATTTGACTTAGTAATGCTTCAGCTGATTTTTCACCACCACCCAATAATTTCTATATATTGATAGCAGCTTTAGCTATTACTTGAAACCCATCAACTTGTAATCCAGCACCTAAATTAAATAATATATAAATAAACTTTATTAAATAAACAATATAAATATAACTTAATTCTATTACTAACCACAATATTTAGGATGAAAAAAGTATCCTAATTTGAAAATTTCAAAGTCAAGTTCATCCCATCTTCGGTTATAAATTTGAATGCAAATTTTTCGAAACTCAATATAATTAGCTTCTAATGGAATATGATGTATTGCAGATGCTAATTGAACTAATTTAATATAAACATCGGCTAAAGTAGTTGATTTAAATTCAACAGCTGTGATTGCTTCTTTTGCTGGATATATAATCTGTGATAAACATTCAACATCGTTAAAAAATTCTTGAGAGCCAATTATATTTGCTACATCCTTTTAAACTATATTTGAATAATCTTGTAAAATCTAATATATAAATAATAATAATAATAAATAAATAAATAAATTAATTAATTAATTAATTTAAATTTAACTATATATATCAATAATATTTTACAATAACAATATTAAAGAAATAATAAAAATTAAAAAATATTATACCGTTATTAAACATGGTTGTAGTCTTAAAATTGAAACAAGACAATCCCAAGTAGTTGACCAACGAGTTTTTACTGAAGACTGAATTCCACCACTAGAAATTAAATATTTTTGTTGTAAGTTACGAAGGAGTTCTCCAGCTTGATGAGACATTTTTGTCCATTTTACAATTGATTGACATTTTTTCATTATATTAGAAGCCCATTGTTGTTTAAGAATATCTTTTGTAATAAGATTTATATGATGTGCAATACATCGAATAGGAAGAATATAAGGATATGATTTAATAACAAGATTTTTGGCTAACTTCATATTAGCAGCGCCATCAGTTACAATTCCTCCAAACTTTTCTACACCAATTGTTTCTATAATGTCTTGAATTTCATTTGCAAGAAACTTTCCCGTATGAGATTGCTTTGAATCATTTCGAAGACTATACAAGTATTCCTTTTTATTAGAAGTCATTAATAAATATGCATGAATACTTTGACTAATTGGATTCGTCCACTCATCAAGACCTATACCAAAAATAGATATAATTAATTAAACATTACTATATTTAGATAACAAAAAAATTTATTTACCGAGTGTTAAATTTTTTTCTTTTTCAATTTCATTTTCAATTTTTATAGTAATATCGGCAACTTCACTTTTTAATAAAGTTGTTGACAGATGAGTTCGTTTAGGTGGTTCATAAGCTTGATTTAAACATTTTACAAATTCTAAGAAAAAAGGATGCTCAACAACTGTAAAAGGAATTCCACAACAAATAAAAAGTTTTAAAAGTGATCTGTCGCATTCTTTTTTTTTCTCAGTTATGTAAAATTTTTTAATCGATTATTAAACTCTTGTGATTCATTAGAACGGGCCTTTTTAAATACTGGAAAATCCTCTTCAGTATCTTTTTCAATATTACTTTCTTTTGTATGATTTCTTGCAGCT